CTGCTGGGCCCGGCGCGCCCCCGGAGCAGGAGGCGGCCCCCGCCGAGGAGCCCGCGGCCGCCTCCGCCTCGTCAGCCTGCGCAGCCCCCTCACAGGAGGCCCAGCCCGAGTCCAGTCCAGAAGCCCCCCCAGCGGAGGCGGCAGAGTAAAAGAGCGAGAGTTTTTGAGATAATCGAAGAACTTTTCTCCCCCGTTTGTTTGTTGGAGTGGTGCCAGGTACTGGTTTTGGAGAACTTGTCTACAACCAGGGATTGATTTTAAAGATGTCTTTTTTATTTTACTTTTTTTTAAGCAGCAAATTTTGGGTTCTTTTTCCCCTCCCCCACAGATCCCATCTCAGATCATTCTGTTCACCACCATTCCAACAGGTCGAGGAGAGCTTAAACACCTTCCTCTGCCTTGTTTCTCTTTTATTTTTTTCTTTTATTTTTTGCATCAGTATTAATGTTTTTTGCATACTTTGCATCTTTATTCAAAAATGTAAACTTACTTTGTCAATCTATGGACATGCCCATAAATGAAGGAGATGGGTGGGTCAAAAAGGGATTTCAAATGAAGTGATAGGGGCCACAATGGGGAAATCGAAGTGGCGCATACCATTGCCAAGATAATGTGCCACTAGAAATGATGGTGTAAAGGCTTAGTCTTTTTTTTTTTTTTTAAAGAAAAGTTATTACGATGTATTTTGTGAGGCAGGTTTACAACACTACAAGTCTTGACTAAGGAGGAAAGAGAAAAAAAAAAAAACACCAATACCCAGATTTTAAAAAAAGATCATAGTCTTAGGAGTTCATTTAAACCATAGGAACTTTTCACTTATCTCATGTTAGCTGTACCAGTCAGTGATTAAGTAGAACTACAAGTTGTATAGGCTTTATTGTTTATTGCTGGTTTATGACCTTAATAAAGTGTAATTATGTATTACCAGCAGGGTGTTTTTAACTGTGACTATTGTATAAAAACAAATCTTGATATCCAGAAGCACATGAAGTTTGCAACTTTCCACCCTGCCCATTTTTGTAAAACTGCAGTCATCTTGGACCTTTTAAACACAAATTTTAAACTCAACCAAGCTGTGATAAGTGGAATGGTTACTGTTTATACTGTGGTATGTTTTTGATTACAGCAGACAATGCTTTCTTTTCCAGTCGTCTTTGAGAATAAAGGAAAAAAATCTTCAGATGCAATGGTTTTGTGTAGCATCTTGTCTATCATGTTTTGTAAATACTGGAGAAGCTTTGACCAATTTGACTTAGAGATGGAATGTAACTTTGCTTACAAAAATTGCTATTAAACTCCTGCTTAAGGTGTTCTAATTTTCTGTGAGCACACTAAAAGCGAAAAATAAATGTGAATAAAATGTACAAATTTGTTGTGTTTCTTTATGTTCTGATAATACAGAGACTTTAAGGTCTTAGATTAATTTTTAGGAAGATTTGCATGCCGTCAAGAGTAAATTTTCTTGTGGTTTTTAAACTGAAGTTTTCAAGCTTTGAAATTAAACTGTCAGATTACATACAGGAAGATCTTATAACATTCCATGTCAAATCTGTTACCATTTATCCGCATTAGTTTTCATTTAAAAATTGAACATAATTATTTTTATTGTAGTTATTTTTATTGTAGCATGTCAGATTAAATCATTTAGGATAAAAGTGGTGTGACTCTAAGACTGTTTAAATGTCTTAAGAGAAAATTTCATAAAACCATTTTCTTGTCATTCAGGTCCAGAAACTTAAGTTTTATACTGAATGAAAGTCTATTGAAATGAAACTGCAGATGGGTCATGAAAAGTGACCAAATGTGCTTCAAGAATTGATGGGGTATTACCTGCCATTGTAATTGCTTAGCGCTTGGCGAATTTCAAAATTTCTTCTTAGACTGTATTATACCTTAAGAAAACAGGTTTATGTAACAAAGTAATGGTGTTGAATGGACGACGTCAGTTTATGGGTGTTTAGCATAGCTGAAAACAGTTTTTTCTGTTTTTTTTTGTTTTGTTTTGTTTTTTTGTTTTTTTTTTTTTAGTGAAAGTGTGTTAACATCTTGTTACTCAAAGGAAAAGATAGATTAATAATCCTTAGTTTACCTCTTCTGTTATTTACCACCGTATAACTGGATATTCTTTCCTTCACTGGACCCTAAACTGAATTGAATTTTAAGATAAGTGTCAAATACCATTACTTCATTTCATTACATGCAAACTTGTTTATGCCTGTTTTACTGTTTTTAAGCAGTGTGCAGTATAGCGTTCGTGATCAGTGAACCACGTTCGTAACACCTAAATGCCAAATCTTAAACTCATTAGAAAAATAACAAATTAGCTTTTTGACATGCCCTTTTAATTGGAATAAGAGATCAAAAATAATGGCTCATGACCTCTCCTTACCAAACACCTTTCCCACTAACCAAATAACATTTGGAAGGGTATGTATTTTGGGTTAGGGTTTCTTAATCTTGGAGGATGTTTGAAAGTTAAAAATCAAATCTGGTAACCAAAGGACTGATTTATGAGTCTTTCCCACCTTAACCAACTTTTTTGTCAAATACCTAGTTGGCCAAGTACAGTGCCTGGTATGTGGTAGGATTCAGTAAAAAAAAAAAAAAAAAAAAAAAAAAAAGGCGGATTTTAAAAAATAACTCCCAAAGTGTGTAGTCAAAAAATACTGTGTAGCAAACTATTATATATTGCTAGGTTTATTCTTTTAACAGCTGGAATTTATTAAGATGCATTATTTTGGTTTTAATCACTGCCTAAACACTTTGGGTGGTTTGATGGAGTGGTGGACTTTCCTCCAAGTGATTAAATGAAATTTGACATTTCTTTTCATCCAAAGTTTTGTACATCACGTTGTTTTCTAATGGAAAAATGTTAATATGGCTTTTTTGTATTACTAAAAATAGCTTTGAGATTAAGGAACAATAAATAACTCTTGTACAGCTCAGTATTGTCTATTAAATCTGTATTGGCAGTATGTATAATGGCATTTGCTATGGTTACAAAATACTTCGTCTGGATTATAATAATCATTTGATCCAATTCCTTTTGCTTGTAAAATAAAGTTTTACCAGTTGATATAATCAAGCCTGCTAAAATAGGATTTTTTACACACTTTATTTTAAAATGCACATTTTAAAGAATAACTTAAAGTCTCATGCATAAAACCTAAGCATAATTATTCAGTTGAAGGGATTTAAAGGGTTATGCTTGACATTACCTAGGATATAAAATTATGCCCATTGAAGATGAGTTATATAGTCACAAGTCAGTAAAAAATTTTAATGATAGAACTTGATAATACATTTGAGAAATGAGGCAATTCATTTGCATTTTCCCCTTGTATGAATATAAACTTGATAGAACCTTGCAATTGAGGTTAAGGATTTGAGGTGAGGTGCTTTTTGCACTTGTATTTTAGGTAAATCGTTGAATAGCAGTTGGGAGGGGAGTATAGTTTAATATAGCCCAAATCAACTTTGAAAATTAAAAAATTGAGGAAGTAACAGGGCTATTAGTTTTTTGCCTTCCTTTTATTTATTTTATTTTTTTTTAAAGATGACCAGTAAGGGGATCTTAACCCTTGACTTGGTGTTGTCAGCACCGCGCTCTCCCAAGTGAGCCAACTGGCCATACTTATATAGGGATCCGAACCCTTGATGTTGGTGTTATCAGCACCACCCTCTCCCAAGTGAGCAACGGGCCAGCCCTTGCCTGCCTTTTAATTACTGTGCAAACTGAACATTTTTCCCTCTACGCTTCCCAGCTATAAGAAAGTGCTTAAAGCAGAGTGTAGAAAACAGGAATTTTAAAGTGCTTTTAATCTGTAAATGTTCCAGTCCCTGTTGGGGATTCAAGTTTGAACACTCCTTAGATGATGTCCAAGAAAGCTATTCTGAAAATGAAAAAGAAATACTTTTGAAAAGTTGTGTGAATTTCAACAACTTTGCTCTAGGGTTTTCTGTGTTTTTTCTAATTTTTAATGTATTAAACAGATATATTTGTGTGTAGTTGACTAAGGAGATTACCTTTTTTCCTATTTTACCTTTATCCAACCACTAATAGGTAGGTCAAAGTAAAATTGAGGTAATTTTTTGTTCAGAATTTATTCAATCCAACAGGTACTTTGAAGTTTCTCTTTTCTTTCTTTTTGACAGATGGCCTGTATGGGCATCCAAACCCATGACCTTGGTGTTATAAGGCTGTGCTCTTACTAACTGAGCAACTGGCCAACCCCGAAGTTTCTCTTTTCAAAGACACATGGAGATACATTTTGTTATTATAGTCATGGCTCATATTTAACCAAAATGATAATACCTAGTTTGATCTCATGCCTAATTGAGTGATAATGACTAACTGGAAGCCATACCTTTCCACAAAAGAAGATTTTACACCTAGAAAAACTCTAAATGCGAAGAAGTTCTAAAAAATGTGTTTCATCTTAGAAGCATCAACTAAATTAACAAGTAAACCTTTCAAGACCACTATAAGGGAACTCCATGTTTGGGTGTATACATCATGTTTCATTCTTTAAAAAAGAAGGAAAAAAAGAACTCAATACTTTAAAGACTTGTATGACTTGTATTGAAAATGTGAATGAAATACTATGCTTTTATTCTTATTTATTGGAGATTCAATTTGAATGTTCAAAAATAAAATGTGTAACACTATAGAATTTTGGGATAATTATGGGTTCCAACTACACATTGCAAGTTCACAACAATCTAGTATCAAAATATGAGCATTCTATATAAGCCTCATTTTTCTGTTCTTGATAGAGGCTAAATGGAGTTAAATACACAGCTAAATGGCATGGTATGCCTTTGGAAATACAAGGAAGGAAAATAAGTGAAATCACCTTTTATAGTGAGCAATTTAAATCTGAAGGATTACATTTACAGATTATAATGCTGAGGGAGCTAAACTACTATTTGCCTTGACTCCATATGCTTAGTGATGATGCACAGTGTTGAAGCACATGCAAGAGAAGAACAAGGTACCCAACGATCTGTTCTACAGCAATTTTGCTTTCTCTGTGACAAAGGATGGTGGTCGGTGCTGACCCTTTTAAATAGGTGATGAAACTATCTTGGCTGAAGATCTTTCTTTGCCTACTCTTCTTCTCCCATCCTTCCACCAGCTTAATCCTCCAAAAAGGAAATCCAACTACCCCAAAATACCAAAATGGAAATTTACAAAAGTACTGCTTCAGGAATTGTTTGGAAGGATACTTTAAAGTCATTATTCTGAGATTCTATGCTGACTTTACATAATGAAGATAATTTTGCAAGAGGCAAACAAAATTAAAGATGTTAAGGATGAGATCCAATTACAAGGAATCTTGGTAAAAACTTGACTCTCCAAAGACGATCTTTTTCCTATTTCGATGCCTTAAAATTGTTTTTAAAACTGGTACATTTTCATGATTTGATTTCTTAGCAATTCTTAAAGATTACTTTGATGATCTCAGAAACTACCATAGAAGGATATAGATGATGGGCCAAACTGGAAGGGGTTTAATCCAATTGGTTTTAGACCATTGTTGTCCTGCCAAATAAGTACACACATTTAATGAGCAATTTGAATCTACCTAATTAAACCTGCATGGATTAACTGTACTAAAATGGAAATCTAGGTAAGATACAACTGGGCGTTTTACTAGCTTGCCAAGAAATATAAGCAATGAATATTAATCATAGTTTATATTCCCAAAAAAGTGAAAAATTACTGATCCTGAAATACTCCTATCTACAGTTCTCAAAATCCACATTTAAAAAAATACCCACCTTTGTCATAAGATTTAGCAGCTGCAGGTATATAATGACCTCAAAAAATTTCTAGAAATCCTTAGTATCCTAGTTCTAGAGTTTTGATAAAATTGGAGCATAAGACTTTTTCTAGTACTGCTAATAAATGAAATATGAGAGTGTCTAGTATTACTGGTAAATGAGATATGAGAGTATCTTTGGCAATTGCTGTTGCTACAACTTCTGTCTTTTCTGGGAAATGGTGAAAGACAACAGAACTACCCATCACTTAGGATTTTAGTAAATACAACAAATTTCAGCTGCACTTAAGTAAGCAATACAGACTGCTTTCCTAACAAGTAGGCAAATGTTTCTTTGGTTTGAAATGTGAATTAAATACTGGACATAGTATTAATAGGAGTAAGAAAATGAATTCTTGGGGAGAGTTATAGACTGAATGTCTAAGGAAGTCCTAAAATCAAGTCATAGGTCAAATGACATGTACCTACATTTTTGTAAAGCACCATTCAATAGAGATATAATGTGAATCACATGTAATTTTAAAGGTTTTTGTAGCCATATTTTTTAAAAAGTAAGAAGGAACAGGTAAAATTAACTTTAATCTATTTAATCTATTTAATCTATTTAATTCAGTATACCCAAAATATCATTTCAATATCATGTAATCAGTATAAAAATTATTGATGAGATATTTTATGTTCTTTTTTTCTTACTAAGTCTTCAAAATCCAGTGTATTTTATATTTCTAACACTTCTCAGTTTAGATCAGCCACATTTCAAGTGCTCACTAGTTATACACGTAGCTACCACATTGGAGGAAACAGGTCTAGAGAATTAGAGTCTGAAAGTCAAGGATAATTAGAAAATGTTGGGCTACAGACTATTTGTGATGTATAGCTTGTATAATCAGTTCCATGAGATTCAAGGGTTTAGCTGTGAAGCCAACATTAAAGGTAACCATTTTAAGCAGTTAATATGGCATCAATATCACAAAGAAATATAGCAAGATGCTGAATGGACCTAAATGAATGAACACTGAATTGAGTTCCCCCCAAAATTCCTGTTGAAGACCTAACTCCGAGTATCTCAGAATGTGACTATTTGGAAAAAAAGGTTTTTAAAGAAATGATTAAGTTGAATGAGAATGTTAGAGTGGACCATAATCTAATCTGATTGGTGTCCTTATAAGAAGAGGAAATGGGATGCACAAAGAGACAACAGGGATGGGAGTGCACAGAGACAAAGATCGTATGAAGGCACAGAAAGAAGGTGACCACCTGCAAGCCACAGAGAAAGGCCTCACAAGAAATTAAACCTGATGACTCCTTGATCTTGGACTTCTGACCTCCAGAACTGTAAGAAGATAAACTTCTATCAAGCCACTCAGTCTGTGGTATTTTTGTTATGGCAGCCCTAGAAAACTCATACAGGATTCCAGGATAAGAGTAGAAAGAGTCTCTCTCTTTACCTGAGGATGAAAGAATTCTACATGCTTGCTTCTTCTCTTCCCTCAATGGAAAAAGGGACTGCTTGAGAGTATTGTTATTATTTTATTACTGTTATTATTAGTTTAGAAAAGAAAAATTATAGTTTTAAAATTAGGAAGGTAAATTGTATATCTTAATACTTTATTAATAAATTAATTGGAAAGATCTCTGCAACATGTATAGTAAAAAATACTATCTATAATACTATGTAATGTTATGTCTGAATTTATAACACTATGTTATATTTGAATTGCACTTTAGAATTAGAGCAGTATTTCCTAAAATGTATTCTGTGGAATACCTGTCCAACTGGTTACTCTGAAAAAAAAAAAAAGCACAGGAGGTGCTGGATGCTAAGTGAGTTTAGGAAACACTAGGATACAAACAGTGTCTTCTTGCATAAAGCACATTAGCACATTACAGGCTCTGAAAAGTACTGCAGAAAAGAAAACTACCTAATTTGATTTAACCAGTATTTCTCATATTAATTTGACCAAAGAACTCTTTTTTCCCCCAGTAGCAAATATAAAACATCCAGCAGAAGTCACATTGGAAAATGTTAATTATCTCAGTTAGTCTCAAACACATGCCCAATTTTTGAGATAATAAAACAAAGGCTTAAAAAAATATTGAATATAAAGATTGTACTTCTAATTAATGGTTGAGAGTCTAGTTTTGAACTCAAATTTTTAGACTGAGTCCTTTAATATTTCCATTGTGTTGTAGTTGTTTTTATTATCACTATCACCTTCATGTTTCATACGTATTTTTTGTTTATATTTAACTTTCTGTTTTTAAAAATTCTACATACACACAAGTAGAGAGAAC